TGAATAAATTATTATTATTATTATTTGTAGTGAACATGTTAATAACTACAAAATTGTATTATATTACTAGCTGGGTGTACATAACTGAGCAAGCAGATTATCTCTTAATAAGTGTAACGATTGAAATATATAAAATATATAGTTATGTAGACTTATATACGATATACGTGTATACACACAAATATATATCTGAGGACGGTACCTTGACGGTGAAACGAGTCTTAGGAAACTAAACGTTTTATGGAGTTTCGAGTGTTTTGATGTTTATTTATACATCACACTTATTTACGGTACTATGTATTTAACAATAATGCATAATTATTAACTAATTATGACAAATTTACGTATCGGTATAGACAATGGCAATAATTGTATACCTGTAGATTAAATCATAAATGCCCATTTAGAAACAGATAAATACATAATTTACATTAATTAAAGGTTACCTGGCTTTAATTCTATTCTAGAAGGGCGAAATAAGAGTTAGATGGAAATGTAATATGTATTCAAAGGTTCTTACCTCCAACTCATTTGGCTTATTTAACAAGCAAATTCCATTTCCTGTACGCAATCTGTCGATATAATCCGATCTACTGCACTCTGAGAACTTGTATGGTTGCACATTATCCAAGCCAACGATAGCCTGAGCCATAATGCATCCATGCCAGTCCCTACAGTAGCATTCTTCCCTTCCATCATCATGTCCCATTCCGATATTATGACCAATCATGTGAGCCATAGTGCCCGCCAAAAGATGAGGCTCATACGTGTTAATATCTACACTAATTCCAACACTTTTAGCAGTACATACTGTTCCCGGAACAGCCATTCCCGCCTCGCCACCCAGAAATGCTTCCCCCGTCAATAACTGAGTTGTGTCTTTGTCTACTTTAAACAACTTTCGCGAGGTGTAATCGTTAAAGTTCGATAAAGCACGACTAATGTCTTGAGTCCGATCGATTTGGATCTGATTACCACCTTGCCACGTTTCAATGTAAACAACAGACACGCGCGTATTAAGTGTCCGAAAATAAAGATCGGCTATATTGGCGACTTGGATAGAATCTTGCACAACCTGTAAAATAACAGTATCTGTGAAATAACACGTGCAATTCAAAATTAAATAAATTTTATTCGACTACGTCGATTTAATTTTTATCGATGCTACCACAAGTGGAAAACAGGATTTTAGATTTTAATAATTAACTCCTCTTGCAAATACATAGTTTGACATGAGCTTGTCGAGGCTTGCGAATAAAATTTGCTGTGGTGCTTTATGATTGTTGTCCTTTATTTTTAATAAAAAATGGAACTATTCTAAGAATTTGTACCTCTACACATCGTACTTGGATTTCGTATTTATAATGTGATAATTCAAAACTGGAGCATTTTACAACTATACCTTAGTTATCGAAAAGTCTTTAAGTTTATCATGAAATTTTACTTAGTTACTAAAAATGGTGAAAGAAGAGTCTTCATAAGCTTATGTAATGAATTTTTACTCCGTTAGAATTATTTCTTTCAATAAATGAAAAAGCTTTAACTATTGATTATAAAAAATTTATTGCCACTCCAGCGTAAATAGAATTTCCGCTAAACTACCTTAACCTATATATTCAAGTCAGCAGGTATTATTTTCATAATATATATAATTTAAAAAGTGTCATGACAACATGTTATGTTACAATAGAGCCAACATTACTATAGGAAAATCAAAATAAAATGCGCAAGTCTGCAATAAAGTGCAAGTGAGTATAGACACTAATGTTAGCATCACTTTTGCTTTTAGTTCATTATTGGTAATAAATCGTAATGACTTACATTTAGTATCTAAGCTTCTAAAAACAATAGATTGATTAAGTTCTTAAATACACCTACGTTTTGGGCCTATGCCTATATTTTTTAATAAAGTCTGTTAAAATACTACTCTTTTTGTGTAATATCGACTAGTTTGGTTGCCGAAAGATTAGTTTTTAAATACGAAGACTTCTCCTAATTGTTCTATTATTGGAAAACTCCAGTTTTATATTGAAGAGTAACGTTTATGATGTAAACTAAAAGTGTTTTCACAATAATTAGAAGGAACACCCAGATAAACGTGCCTGAGAGAACAATAACGTATTGTACGCCGACCATCAAGGAACCTTCGAACCAGTCCTTAAAGTCGCGTCGTAACAAATTTGGCGCAGTCGGTAGGATATCCAAGGAATTCCCTAAGAATACTCCAAGGATTCTCCAAGAATATTTCCAAGGGTTTCTTCGGAGATTAACGCTGGTGAATCGGAAGAACCACCAGAGGAATTCAGAGACGTAGTCACAACTGTATCCACCCGTAATTAATTGGCTGACAAGGAATCTCAATAATCCTATGCATCAAACATATTTTATCCCAATTTTCTGGTGAGTAGTTTTAAATTATCTCCAGTGCTTTAAAACGAAGGTTATGATTGCTTTACAACCAGAGTATCCAAATTCCACTGTCATTAATGGAATTTCTGATTCAATTTTCACCACGTTGTCAAATAACTTACCAGTTTTCAATGGAGGTGAGAATGATATTTCCCTGACCCACTGGACAAAGGTTTTAGACAATTTATTAAAGGCATGTAGTAACTCACACAAAAATATTATTGCTAGCTTTATACTTGCTAAAATACAAGGTGAACTCCGTTATTTATTGCAGAATGGGAGTTTATATTCTATAAAAGAAATTCTCGAATTTTTTAAAGACACGTATGAGGGCGATAAATCTTTTGAACAGTCCGTACTAGAAATGTGCACGATGGTTCCAAAAAATAATTCGGCTAAACAATTGTATTATGACGTTGCTAAATTAGAAGATGCGATATTAAGGTCAACTATTCTTGACAGAAGTTCAAAAATTTGTAGAAAAATTTACAATTTCGGCGTATCTCTCGAAGCTGCTCCCTACAATTAGCAACATATTACAAACTAAAAATTTTGAAAGCTTATGTAAATGCTTTAAAGAAGTTAAGAATATTGGAAAGAGTTTAAGGTTAAGGTACGTTAGGTTACGCTGTCTTTAGACAACTTAGAGGCGAAACTACACCTAAAAACGATGAAATTAAACCTAAAAGCAACGTTTCGACTTGTGTATAGTCATTATCAGGCTAAAAAAATATACATACAAATTCAATTTTGTTGAAAACTTAATTGCTGACTGACTAACATTCATATCACATTGTTAAACAAAATACCTGAAGTTATAAAATTTGTCATCTTTGATATCATTCAGATGTAAAAACACCTTCGCTACCATCGCCTTTATCTGTAACCATGTAAGATTTTTATACATTCCGTTGACTTGAATTCGATGTGGAAACAGCTCGTATTTCCCTCAATAGAAATAAAATACGTTTTTAGATACAGAAGTAGTTAGACATGAAAACACACTTACAACCAATTGGTATCAAAAAGAGACTTTTTCTGGCAGAATTTTACATTTTAATTCGTATCATCCAATTCACCAAAAGAGAGCTATGGTTTTCTATTTGGATAAAATAATCAAAATTTTAACTGATAACTGTTACCCCCTAAAGTTTATAAAAGCTAATATCAATCGTAGAATTAATATGATGAACACTGAACCAGATTTAAATCCTGAAAAAGAGAGAAAACCTTGGATACCTTACATAAATAACTCAACTAAAATTATTTGCAGAAAACTTAGACAATTTAATTTAAACATTATTAATTCAGTTGATAATAAACACACTGATGTAGTTGTTAAAGGAAAGGATCGCACCAAAAAAGAAAACCAATTAAACATTGTATATCAAATTGATTGTAAAGACAAAATTTGTAACAGCGTTTATATCGGTCAGTCAAAACGAAAACTTTCAACACGAACAAAAGAACATTTTGATAATATTAGAGAGAAACCTATTTATCATAATGTTGTTACTTCCCCAGTAGCACACGACATTGGCCCAATATTTATTCTATTGTATATTGGTACAGGCTCTGACCGTATTACAAATGAAGCACTGAAGAAAGCACATACAATTTTATCCGAACCACTAGCAGAACTGTTCAACTCGATACTGCAAGGCTCCAAAGCACCGTTCCAATGGTCTGAATCTAACATCATACTGTTGTACAAAAAGGGTGACCCAAAGGACATTGGGAATTACAGACCAATCAGTTTATTACCTAGTCTCTATAAGCTATTTTCTGCTATAATAAATGCAAGAATCATTAATACCATAGAAAAAAGACAACCAGTAGAACAAGCTGGCTTTAGGAAGGGCTATTCAACAATCGACCATATCCACACACTTGAATTAATACTAGAAAAATACCAGGAAAAACAAAGGCCACTATATATCATGTTCATAGATTACCAAAAAGCATTCGACACTGTATCACATACGAGCATATGGGAGAGCCTAAAAGAACAGGGAGTAGAGGAGATATACATAAACGCCATCAAAAGCATATATAGCAAAAGCACAGCTAGAATAAAGTTGGAAACCTTGGGTCCAAGCTTCCCAATCAGAAGAGGTGTAAGACAAGGTGACCCACTATCTCCTACAATATTTATGGCCATCCTGGAGTCAATCATGAACAAGCTAGACTGGAACAAAAAGGGACTATTCATAAATAACACCTATTTAAGTCATCTGAGGTTTGCCGATGACCTTGTGCTGTTATCGGAAACAAGCCACCAGTTACAGTTCATGGTGGAGACCTTGCACCAAGCAAGTACTAAGGTAGGACTAGAAATGAATACTACGAAGACAATGGCAATGACAAATAGAAGGAAGAGACCAATAATAGTTAACAACAAACCACTGGAGTACGTAGAAAAATATATCTACTTAGGAAAGCTAATTAGCTTCGACCGGAGAAACAAAAACCTGGAAATAGAAAGGAGAGTCCAACTAACTTGGAACAAGTATTGGAGCGTTAAAGAAATTTTTAAAAGCAACATGCCAGTCACTATTAAAACAAAAATAATGAACATGTGCCTTATACCTTGCCTGACATATGGGTGTCAAACATGGAAATTCACCAATGACGTTAAAAAGAAGATCAGTGTTTGCCAGAGAGGTATTGAACGAAGTATGTTAAGGATCAAAAAACTAGATAAAATACGACACAGTAAAATAAGAGAAGCAACAAAAGCGAAAGACAGCCTTATTTATGCAAAAAAACTAAAATGGAAGTGGGCAGGGCATGTGGCAAGAACAAATGATCAGAGATGGACCAAAACAGTAACACTATGGGGTGGCCCACAAGGGGAAAGAACGAGAGGAAGACCAATCACATGATGGGAAGACGAAATAAAGGCTACTGCAGGCCCAGGCTGGACAAAAGTAGCACTGGACCGTGAAAAATGGGCATCCTTGGAGGAGGCGTTTACCCACACCGGGGTTCCTGTTTAGGATCAGACCTAGTTTATTATACTAACATAGAAATAAATTCAAATTCAATTACTAACCCAAAACTATGTAAAAACGGGAAATAAAAGGCTTTATTTATTTATTTATATTGGTACAATAATTGGCAATTTATAGCCAATATTTGTAATATATAGGATATATATNCCAAAATTCTTGGAAGATGGATGGTTAACTTTTGAATCGCCTAGAAATTGCAACCTAACTAACCGTTAGCCAATATTGGTAATATATAGGAGATGTGCTATCTTCCTATATTTTAATACCATGTTTATCCGATATTGATCCAATATTAATAAAAGATATTTGGCAATAACTTTTATTTATATTGATATGTAATATTTACCCAATATTGGTAATATATATATAAGGGATGTACTTTTTTTTGTTTGGCAAAATTGAAAGTCCATAAAGACACGTGGCCCGGTGCATGGGTACCAAAATTTATTGAAGGTCGATGGTTTACATTTAGGTCGCCTAGAAATTGCCTTATGGTCGGAAATGCTACCGGGTTTTTCATCCTCTTAAAGTATTTGTTGCATTCGCCCATTAGTGGAAATAAACTGTGTAAATGTAGAAGCAAGCAAAGAAGTGGTAAGTAAATGTATATTTTACTTGTTTAATTAATTGTTATGTACTGTGTGATATTCAT